ATCTACATGTAAATAAACTAGTTTTAAGATCAAATCTACTTGTCGATATCAAGTTATATTCTAAAGCTACAATCATCATCGTCAAGAGAGGAAAATAATTAAATAAGTCAGTAGAACGAAGACAACTCAAAAGGCACTTTTCGGAATCATATTTAACTAAGGTAAGAAGACCCAGATTTACATATTATTATGAGTGATAAACCGGCTTCTCAATGAAAAAGCATGGCACTTGAATTTCTCCGATTCGCGATGTTTTCCGATAGAATATCACACTCCTCTGAAAATCCATCTACTTTATAAGTGTCTGTCAACGGATCTGAAATAAAGTTTCACGAATTAGTGGAAAATGAAGATAGAAAAACTGAACCCGCAATGCCCTTACGCATGTCTAATAATTTACTTACAATCACTGAAGATACATAAGAACGAAGGAAGACTGTCATAATCTAAACTAGCTGAAATCTCCATAAGTTAAGAAAAGATAATATTTAGGTAAACTTAACCATTAACAGAAAAGTTATTAAGTTGTGCAGAGAATAAAAGTATTATGCAAGTATAACAATTCAACGGCAAAAAAGAAGTAACCACAGTCATTTCAAAGTACAGTGCACGCGCAGTGTGCTTCCGCATAATATAAGCACATATTTATATGAATATTGATAATTAGGGCTAAAACTCTCATTCAAATGCATGTTTTTTATTCTTCTTTTTATTTGGCTCTACGACCGTTTGTCGGTCTGGGCCGAGACCAACAACCTTCATAAATTGCCTCTCTCCTGTGCGAAAGCGCCAGTTGCTGGTGCAGACAGTACCTTCTGTACTTGGTCCTTCCGTTTTGTTCGTGGGCGCCCTTGTTTTCGTTGTCCACCCACGGGTGCGAAGTCGATGGATCTTTTCACCGGAGCGTCGTTATCCATGGGTACAACATGTCCAAGCCAGCGCAATCGCTGTATTTTTATGCGATTTACTATGTCCACGTAGGTAAAAAGCTCATTCGTCATTCCATCTTCTGCTAAACACGTCGTCCACGCGAACAGGGACGTAGATCTTGCGTAGGATAGTTATCTCGAAAGCACCCAAGCATCTTAGTTCGACATCGGCCACGTTTCTGTGCCTTATAGAAGAACGGAGCTCTGCTTTTCAATTGCCCACCGGTACCTTTTAACAAGAGTTATTCTTCGCTTATCTCCAGGCTGACGTTATTTGTGGTGTTTATGCTGGATCCTAGGCAGACAAAGTCCTTCACTAATTCAAAGTTATAGCTGCCAACAGTGACGTGTGTCCCGAAACGCGTGGACTTTTTATATGTTGCCAGGAGGTACTTTGTATTGCCTTTGCCGTTAGACCAACCTCTTTACCTTCCGCAGCGATTCAGATTGGCGGCTGTTATTACGCTATCCAGCATCATATTGAAACAAAAGTCGCACGAGAGTCGCCTTGTATAAAACCTCGTTTGGTCTCAAACGGCGCGTAGAGGTCCTTCCCAATTTCGACGGAGCTGAAGGTTGTGCTCGACGTCACTCTACATAGCCGTATTATTTTTGCTTCTCTTCGTGCTATCAAAAGCGGCTTTAAAGTTGAAAAAAGATGATGTGTGTCGAATTGCTGTTCTAGAGTCTTCTCCATTTGACGTGCTGTGAAAATCTGATCAATGGTGGACTTGCCGGATCTGAAGCCACACTTATAGAGTTCAGTCAGTTGGTTCGTGAACGGTTTCAGTCTTTCACACAGTATCGTCGACAGGACCTTGTACTCAAAATTAAGAAGGCTTATTCTGCGATGGTTAGCGTGGATTGGTTGGACAAAGTACAGTGAGATTCAAGACTTCCGGCATGTATTCATCAGACCAAATTCTGCTTAAAAGCTGCTACATATGTCCCACCAACTCTTCGACACCGGCTTTGAACAGCTCAGCCGTGATACCGTCGGCTTTGGAGGCCTTGTTGTTCTTAAGCCGACTTATTTCTGTTCTCATCTCGTCTTGGTCGAGTAAAGGGACGTGAGCCTTGTCCCTATGCATTGGTTTGGATTCTCCTTCATCAAACGCACCACCTGTGTCGTCATTCAAACTCGTTGAGAAGTGTTCGTTCCCTCCATATCTCAAGTGAACACTGGACATGTGTTACCAGATTTCCATCTTAATCTTTGCAGCAGCTAGCCCCAGTCTTAAAACCATTTGATTGCTGCTTTACTTTCTGATAGAATTTTCGAGCCGCATTCCTGGCCAGTGATCGGACTTCTACCACATTTTGGTAGAACCGCCACTTTTTTGATCATCTACCACATCTACCACTCAAGGTCTGAAATCTACCACATATTCGCGTTTTTGAGTAGTTTTATATTTTTTTTACATAATTTTCTTAATTTTACGAGCAAAACTTGTCCAACACTAAACACGATATGGTAAAAAGAATGATACAAGATTCCGCATTCCCGGCGACGATGAAATTTCTCAAGTAAAAGTAAACAAACCCGAATGGGAGCAAAAAATAAACTGTAAAATAGTAAATTTTCTCAGTATGCAATTTTTCGACAGATACGCGGTTTTGTTGTGTTAAATTTCAAAATATATGATTTATAAAAAGAATTAATAGCGAAAATGTTAAAAAACGGCGATTTTTGTGAAAGAATTAGCAAATTTAAGTGCATCTAAGGTTTCTGAGGCGTTGTTTACTTTTACTTGGGAATTGTCAATATCGGCAATTCCCAATTAGCTGTTTTTTGACCGTGTCGCATTTGTTCGCTACTTCGTGATGTGATAAAAAGAAAGGTTGCAGAAATCTTTTAATAGGGCATTCGCACGAGACGATTTTTCATGCAACTTTTGCGTTCTACTCACGCAGGGTTGCACAAAAAAAATTGAATGGCTAAAAATATCAAAATATTAAAAAATATCAAAATACTCGCCATAAAAAGGCATTTGCATTGTTCAACTTTGCATTCCGCTTTTGGTTGAACGGCCTTTTAACTAATCACTTTCAACAAAGTTGGTCGCCAGCCAACATTTAGCCATTCAACTTTTTTTCGTGCAACGCTGCGTGAGTTGAACGCAAAAGTTGAACGCAAAATCGCCTCGTGCGAACTTCTTTTAAAATAACTTTTTTAAGCTTTGTGCAAAAATTAAAAAAATTCTGCAAGGTTTCACCCAAATGGCAAACTTTTTATTTGGACTCTAAAAAATTTAATTTTAGTATAACAAAGTACAAGATTGAAGTTGTTAAAAATTGAGTTAAGTTTTGGCAATGTTTTTCCTTGACAGTGTAAAGCAGTTCTTTCCATATTAAGATATTTTTCGAACATATTTTAAGAGATTTCTGCAACCTTACGGAGCGCTGCCAGCTTTTCTTTTTATCACATCACGAAGTTGCGAACAAATGTGGCCCGTTCAAGTAACAACTAATTGGGATTTGCCGATTTTTACAATTTTCAAGTAAAAGTAAACAACGCCTCAGAAACCTTAGATGCACTTAAATTTGCTAATACTTACACAAAAACCGCCGTTTTTTTTTAACATTTTCGCTATTAATTCTTTTTATAAATCATATATTTTGTAATTTAAAACAATAAAACCGCGTTTTCTGTCGAAAAATTGATTACTGAGAAAATTTACTATTTTACAGTTTATTTATCCTCCCATTCGTATTTGTTTACTTTTACTTAAGAAATTTCATCGTCGCCGGGAATGCGGAATCTTGTATTATATAATTTTTGTTACCATACAGTGTTTAGTTTTGGACAATTTTTGCTCTTAAAATTAAGAAAATTATGTCAAGCAAAAATAAAACTACTCAAAAACGCGAATATGTGGTAGATTTCAGACCTTGAGTGGTTGATGTGGTAGATCCTCAAAAAAGTGGCAGATCTACCACAATGTGGTAGAAGTCCAATCACTGGTTGGTTCTGCGCGGTTGGTAATAGCCAACAACCTCTTCCGCAGCGGACCAAGTGATTAGGAGATAGAGCCCCGCTAATTTATGTCTAGGCGATGAGGAATTGCTTGATTAAGCATGATTGAAAATCGATTGCTAAATTTATCGGATGTCCGTTATGACTGTAGCTTTGCGACGTCGAACTTTCGCCGCGTTGCCTGGCGCTCGCTTTTTTATATTTTTATTTGGCATCTTTGAATGGAAATGGTTAAGATATTTTTAAGAATCATGAAATTTCCTTCAAAATATTTTTGCATTTTTTTAGTAAAGACATGGTTTTGCATATTTAGCGAAAAATACCTGCATATTTATTGGGCATAGTTTAGTATATTTTACAATAAATGCATGTGGTTGTTGCTTATTTTTGCTTTGTTTGATTTACAACCATTTAAATTTAATGGGACATCTCTTGACAAAAACATTACCTATATTTGTTTTCAAAATATTTATCTGAACCACTGTATTAAACTGTCAATGTTTCTATTTCCACGAAATTGCATATTTTGCTTGTTTATAGCGCATATTTTCGATTTTTTAGTGCATAAGATTGCTAGCCCTATTGGTAATATATAAATATGTACATGTACGGAATTTTAGAATTTCTGAATTCGTGGAATCCCGTATTATTGTGAAACATGAGTATTTGGATTGCAAGTTAGAGGCTCACGCGAGTCCCAGGATTAGTTCGGGCACGTGACGGTTTGATTTTTGGAGAGTTCCAAAAAATGCTTGCGGGTAACAGAAAAATTAGACAGCTTAGATTGTCTAAATAAAGGCGCAAGTGTAACCAGGAATAAGAAGCAGAAGAAATTACTCAGTTCTGTTGAGTAGGTACATAACGCGATTTGATTCTTCTGAATGTAAAACGAGTTTTATTGAAAGAGGTTTTGTTTAAAATGAACAACTACAATTTTTTAATAAGTGTATTTCTGGATTCCGTTCTTTTCTGTAGTGTTGGGAAGTATCGAGTATTAATCCCTAATGACGTCAAATGAATGGCTAACTGTACAAGTATTGTGCTTG